GCCCCTCCCCCCTGCGGATTTTGGTTTTTAGCACTCTCCTAGCCAGAGGTAAAGCACTTTATACTCACTACAACTACTCTCGTGCCTGATTTAGATCCAATCTAAAAATTAGCCGCTTATGTCACTGTAAACACTAGGCTATTTCTATCTGTTCTCTGTCGGTTCTTTTTCGAAGTACTCATTTATTTTTCCAGACGATAATTGATGTACATTCATTAGAGATTCCAAATTTTGCTGTCGATATTCGTTCTGCGGTTAATCGAAAAATATGGATTTTTACTTTTGATTTTTTTCGACTTCCTTTGCGGATTCACGGTTTTATGCTTTTGGGATTTTTTTTTTCCGTCTCCGTCGTTTTGTGTTTTTTTTACGTCCCCTCCTATATTTTAGCCACATTAATTTTAGCGGTATTCAATACAAGAGGCTGTTAGCGAGTGTGTAGGGTCGTCATTTCGTTCCAGATCCTATTAAAGCAGGCATATTTTATAAAGGTAAGACTATTAAAGTATTGAAGACCTCTTTGTGGAAAACGTTGTCCGGGATATCACTGCGTAGTGAAACGCTCATTTATACTCGATAGAAATAAAAGCAAAATAAATAAGTTAAAGTAATATATGTTTTTAAAGAAAAATATAAATGACAACAAATCAAGTTGGTTAAGCTAGTTTTTTAAATTCTAATTAACAGACTCTCGTTATAACTTATTTCCCACGCAGGAATCGAACAGATATATATATATATATATATATATATATATTCATCTTGCAACTCAACCTTTGCTAATGATATTATGATAATATAATTGATATTCGTCACCGTTATTTCTTGCACGGTGCGAGAAAAATACTTTATCGATTGCGCAATCCGATGGCCATCCCTAAATTACAAGATTACGAAATTAAAAGTATAAATCTGATTACCCAACTGAGTCCAAAACTTATAGTCGCAAATTGACGTAGAGGTAAGGATCTAGATCTGACTTCTTTTGACATTTCATGCTGAAATTCTTAATAATATGTTTATATTCGAGAAATCTAAAAAGCTTTGTAGCAAGGAGCGGTGTAGTGATAACACGTCAGTATTGAAAGTGGCTTGGATACCTTTGCGCATGCGTAGATCAGTGCTTTAGTTTTGCCTTCCCTCGTCCTTCCATCCTTTTTCCTTCTCCTATTTTGTTTTATTACTCAATTTATTTTCATTTTCCCTTTTCTTTCTTTCTCATTTGCTTTTTCTCTTTTCCTTTTCCTTTATACTTCTCTCTTGTTTTATTTTCTTTCCTTCCTTTCCTCTTTTCCTTTAGCTAGCAACTAATGAAGCTAGCAGCTTTGACTCCAAAATTCCAAAATCATTGATCAATCCAATTAAAGCTTTGAAGTGATTTTCACAAAATTGACAAGCGCTTTAAGATAAATAGCCCAATTAAGACACTTCCATGTCCTCGTTATATCAACTTTCTGTTTCATATATAGTAAATAATTGCCTTTTATATTGATTATCAACACAGTTATTAACCACATATTGAGAGCAGTTCACAATAATATTGTTATGCAAGTCACAAGTTAACAGATCGTTCTGCCACAAGCTTATCAAAAAGTTGTTCTTTTACTCCTGTATTGTTTTGATGTAGATGGCGACAGGTAGTTGATATCGGTCGTTAAGTACTAATAAATATAAACAAGTTAGACAAGAAAAAAAGATCTGAATGAGGATAACGACTCATGTAGTTAAAACTCGCTAATTAGTCTTAAAAAACACAAACTCAGTGATAAACGAAGTAGAGTGCCAGCGTCGCTTTTCTTAAAGACAGGAACAGAAGAGAAAAAATATTGAAGATTTTCTAAAGGAAGTCAGGTATGTAAACTTCTGTGATCAATAAAGCTTAATGTTCTAATAAATGATCCTTTGACGGTCTTCATAGCTAGATTTTTCGACAATAAGAAGCTACAACAATTTTATCTTAAAGCTATTCAAGTCGGACTAACTAGGTTTTTTTCTTTAATTCTGCAATTTTTCAAGTTTTCAAAGTTTTAACTTTTCTAAGTTAAGCCTTTATTTTCGTTCTGTTGTCATCGAGAACAATGCACCCATAACTTTAATGGTTGTAAGCAGCGTTCAAAACTTATATCCATTATGGTTAAATCATAACTACACTTTTCAAGAAAGAACTAGATTTGTTGATAAGTCTAGTCCGGCAAGTAAGAATTTATAACACAAACAACTTTTGTTATTTAAGATTCTAAAGAGTTAATGCGTGTCGATTCTTGGGTCATAGCACTTGAACGAATACCAGTTGACTAGCGATAGCCTTACGTATTGACATATTTGTTTTAAACAAGAAGGCCATCTTATTAACGATGAACGGCAATTAGTGTTCAGGAAAGATGACTAAATAGATGGTAGGGAGTGAAAAGAAAGGAAAGAAAAAGCCGAAATAATTCAAATAATTTGTATATTTGCGCGTTATAAATATCTGGGGCTCCAGTAAAATTCGGTTGAGAAATAACGTATTTCAAATAATGGCCAAACAATGTCAAACATAGCAAATGACTGTCACTCAGATATATATTGAGTGGTATGCTTTTACTTTGATAATGATGTTAGGAAGGAAGTAATGAAATGGTTCGGCGTTTCAATATCAGCAAGAAATTAAAAAGCTAGAGTAGGCTATGGTATATTATAAGAGAAGTTATGGTATAATGAGAGATCAAAGTTCGGTTTATATATTGATATATGCTTTCACAAGTGCTTTCAAAATAGTAGAATTTTGGTTTCCAAAAGGGGGGTGGGGAGGAAGAAAAGAGAAAGAAAAATCAAAATAAAGAATTGAAGGACGGAAGAGAAGAAATAAGGAGCACTAGAAGAATATGAATATATTGATAACTACAGATATTGATAAACGAGAAGAATAATGACGTCAATATAATTATGATTATTCGCAGAATGGATCCTGAAAAGCATCCCAGAACGCACCTGCTGTTATTTATCTGTTATTTCTACCTACCTTTTATTTATAGGTAAGTATAGCTCCCGCCTCAAACAAAAAAATATTGTTGTACTGTGTGTTTTTTTTTTTCCGTTCTCTCCTATTATTTAGTACACTTTTTTAATCATTAAATGTTACATTTGACTGTTTCGTCTAGCAATTGGGCTTCCCGTGCTCTAATTATCCACACCAACGCAAACGTAGTAAAAATAAACCCCAAAACGTTTTTCATCCAAAATTAAAATTACGCGAGAGAAAATTAATACGAGCGAGCAATATAGATGATGAGAATGCTACGTTCGTTGAGGGAAGCCCTAATAAATATCTTCAATGGGCTATTTGTGTCAATTATGGATTAATGAACAACCTTACCATTGACATTGATTCTTGAATTGTCCCTCCTCATAAAAATGGCGCCATTTTCTTGTGATAAAATATAAAATGCCATAAAAAAACATTTATATAAAAAACCATTAAAGTTTTGACTAAGACAGGTATGACGTAATAGGACGTTTGCATGATGGCGTCATTTGACTCCCACTACCATAATGCTTCGCGAATTTTCTTTCCTATTTAAATTTGTATTCCCTCATGAGAATAGTAAGACAATTGGTGCTAATTAACTGAACGAAAGAAAGTGTACAAGGGAGTACTCGTCTGGTAGTGGAGGTCAATGACTGGACGCCATCATGCAAACGTCCTATTTCACGGGGAGATCTAGATGAGGTTTATAGAAATTGCATTCTGTATACCAAGTACGAAATGCACCATGGGTAATATGTACAATCATGCGAAAAGTCACGACAATTTTGAATATTTACAAACATATTTTTTTCGACATAATTTCATATGAACTTACTGAGGAATTTAATGCAGCATGCAACATGAAGCATATATGCGCATGCAACAAAACCTTCATTAACCTTTTTTGAAATTGCTGTACATATGTGCAAAGAAAGTCGCATGATTGACGACAGAACAGAGAAACGCAAACTACCACTGAAGAAACCTATCAATTTCAATCAGCTGTTAAAAGTCTTTGACTGTTCATTATCTACTCTAACCGTTCTTTGGTTAAATTCTTACTACATTGTGCTGTCAGCCAGAAAGATTTCTATCGATAAGTTGTGCTGTCAGTTGATGAACATCCCGCACAAAACAAGACAGGATATGACATCAGGTGAAAGCCAGCAATGGAATTTTAAGGGAGGAATTTTACAGTAACATGGCTTATTTTTTCTGTTACAGCGCATCTGCTGCTAGATGCCCGGTATCTCTACCTCAGAAGGTTACATCACAAAACCCTTGTTATCAAGTCCGAAACTTGGCGTTAGAAAGACAACGTTCAATCTACAGCCTCAAACCACCATCACCTTTACTTCCATACGCTCGTTTAAACATGACAATACCGCAGTACGCTGAGTACCTCAAGACAGATCCTTTCTTGAATCACCATGCTCAGCTTTTGATTGGCTTGTCTCAGTTGAACAACAAAACCTTGTATTCCTACATGAAGGCGACTCAAAACCTTCCGCGGATTCCAGAACTGAATGAATACGCAGGCATGTTGAGCTTCTTTGGAGATTATCCTGAAAAAGTCTTCGGGGTAAGTTAGACCAAGGGACAGTAGAACCTCGATTAAGCGGCCACCCTAGAGGAATTGTCAAGTGGCCGATTAACAGGGGCTGGCTGTTTAACGGGTGGCCGATTAATAGAGGTTGGCTGGTTAATGGGTGGCCGATTAATAGAGGTTGGCTGGTTAATGGGTGGCCGATTAATAGAGGGGTTAATGGGTGGCCGATTAATAGAGGTCAGCTGCTTAATAGTTGGCCGCATTCTACACTACTTCAATGATTTTCCGAGGCGAATATAAGGATATTGATATGTGCAATTGGTGATTATTTTCATGGCAGGAACACGTGCGCAGACCTTCACAGTACGAACTCTTCCAATCCGACCACTCGACCTGGTTATCAGACGATTTTTTTACTCAACAGCGATTGGCTGGAACCAACCCAATGGCGATCAAACAAGTGACATTTTCTAAGAAACGTGAGGAACTTCTTTGCTTTCTTTGTCTGGATAACTTTAAAATCTTAACAAATCTTCCCCAAAAAAACAATAAACTTTGCATCCCACATGGAAAGGAGTGTCCATGGGTGTTTAGGGCATCAGCGACAAAATTTGACATACCGGGTTGCTGGTCATAGCAATGGGTTAATCACATACGCGGATCATGGGGCAGACTAACCTCTTCCTTAGCCTTCAGCCGAGCTTTCTGATTAGTCTGTAAACGTTTGCACGATGGTATCATTGACCTCTACTCCCAAACTCTCTTGTATACTTTCTTTTGTTCAGTTAATCAGCACCAATTGTATTAATATTAACATGAGGGCATACAAATTCAAATAAGAAAGAAAATTCGCGAAGCATCTTGGTAGTGGGAGTCAAATTACGCCATCATGCAAACGTTGAAATCTCCGGCGTAGCCTTAAATGCTTCGCGCTACCATACGAAGCTTGAAAGTATGGTCTTCGGTTACTTTTAATTAATAAAAATAATCCCAATAAGTCGTCTCCCAACAAGATAGCAACTTTCCAATTTGGAATTAAGGACAAAAGGAATCCTATACATGCGCGTGGCAAATCCTCAATATATTTTACGTGAGGCAAGAAAAGATTATAGTCTTAAAATTCACTCAGAATTTTCAATATTTTCCTATTCTTTTTAATGGAGATTAAAACTGCCTCCTGCTAAAGTGTATTAAAAAACAAATTATTTTTCGACTTAAAATCAGAAGTGTAATCAGAAAAGGATCTATTCATGCTCATTTTAACTAAAGCTAATTCCTTCATCAGGTGGAATTTACTGGCAGGAATTGAAAAAGAACTTGAATCCAAACTTTAACTGGCAAACAGCTTTTCAACAAGTGGCTGGTAGTTGTGTGTCCGGCATATCACAGTATAGTCTAGAAACGGTAAGACTTAAAACCATAACCAAACAACAGATAAAAAAATAACCGACCAGTTCCCTATTCTCGGATCCGAAAGTATACTACAGTATATAGATGTCTTAATTTGCTTTTAATTTAAAGGCAATAGAACACGGCCACATCTTTGCCATTCGTCATCCTCTTTCTGACAACATGGCGAAGATGCGGGACATTGCTACACCTCCCGTCCCCCACCCCCCACGTGAGATGTGGCCAATGCGATCTCCCATATCGCTGTTCGTGTCCGTACCGACGCTTGATCGGATTAATCCAGAAAATAAGAGGAAGCTGAAACCTATAGCAATTCAAATGGATTATAAACCAGGTAAGGATATTAAAGTGACATAGACTTTAGAGTAGGTTTCGTATGACTGTGGAAAGCTTATCAAGGCACGGACACGGTCATGACACTGCAAGGCATACGCCAGACCAAAGACAGTGCGCGAGAACTTACTCTCCATCCAATTAAATTAATGCCCAGAACTGACGATATGAGCACGGCCACGTCGGGGTCACGTCACTTCCAAACCAATTAAATTGCGCAAGAAAAAAATATCAGCCAATTAAAATTCTAGAAAACATCACGGTCACGGCACTTTTCACGAGAACTGCTCTATTACTCACTTCGTTTGACAATGGTGCCCTTTCAACACCGAAACGTCACGTTACTTCCTCTTAATTATTCTTATTTCCACTGCAAGTGTTTCTTGATTACACACTCTTATACTTAGGAATACTTAGGGTTAGTCTAGCCTCATTTGCGCATCGTGATGGATATAGGAATGCGTGACTGTCCTATTTCCACTGTGTACCAAACCGTACCCAAATTCTTCATATTTACAGATTCTCCTGTTTACACACCTCGAGACGGCTGCAAATGGACACTAGCAAAACTCAACGTCCAACTTACTGACCTCGCCCAAGCGCAACTCATAGAACATCTCAGTAAGGTTCACTTCACAGTCGAGGCATTTTGCGTCAGCCTGCAAAGACATCTCTCAGAGTTCCATCCACTTCACATTATTATGAAGTACCATTGCCGAGGAGTGATCACATCAAATACGTTTGGCGCGCCAGTCCTGGTTGCGCCAGAAGGGTTTGTAGACCAACTGTATCCAGTCGGTTGGCAAGGTGCATTTACTTATATCCAGAGAGCGTCAAGTGTTACTAACTGGGAAGACTTGGACTTTGAGACATACAACAAAGTACGTATCGAACCGCAACCTTAAAATTATATATTTTGGACCCTGAAATAACTTCTGGGCTGATCTAAGTCAGCGGAAAAATCCTCGGAGAAAGATCCTCGCAATATGATATAGGAATCAAGGAATGAATGCGCATAGGTTTTAATATAGGTAACTATAAAGTTCCATCTATATATTGTGCATAAACTTATTTTTGATTTTGTAGAAACGAGGGATAGATGATGCAGAAAGCCTGCCTTACTTCCCATACAGAGACGATGGTAAACTTATTTCAGATGCGATCAAAGCAATGGTGACGGATTATATCAATGCGTGAGTATATTTAATGAAACAAAGCTAGTGTGCGCACGAACGTACCTATACGGACGTACTCCAGGGCACAGAATAAGATGATTACATAAATCTACTGACATTTCGGACCTAGAGACTTAAATTGACTGTTGATTATAAACCTCTTGAGACCATGATGATGGTCTTTATCTATTTACTTTGGGCGTAATGTTTTCCCATTTCAGTCCGCGTGTCATTCTATGAGATTATTTGTTTGAGTTGTACTCATACTCATCCGTTTTCTAATGTTTAAACAAAGAAATGATACTCTAGAGAATGACACGTGGTTTGAAATAGAAAAAAAACCCTCAAGGTAAATAGGCCGATACTTCCAACAAGGCCTCGAGTTGGTGGTCACGACGTAGCGCGCAAACCAAGAACTGCATTAATTGATTTCATTAATCTTTTATAATCCAGGTTTTATCTCAGTGATAATGACGTTAGAGCTGATAATGAACTGCAGACTTACGTCAGCGAGATTTCAATAGATGGTAAAGGACCATACGGAGGCACAGCCCAGGTAAACAACGACCACTCTATACTACAGCACAGGGTGTTCTAACGCAGTAACAAGCGTGGAATATCGAATGCTGTAGTCTTATTAGCTTTCTCGTTCTCAGGCTACTTCCTCGTTCTCAGGCCTCGAGCGATATTACCTTTCGCTCCAAGCCTATGAAGAGTAACGAGAATTATGTCCGAAAATGATAAATACTTCAATAATTTTTGACTAGCCTACCCTCGACCAGCACAACTCTAACGTCAATCTTATAGTAATCCACCAGGGCTGGTTTAGTCAGTGAGTGTGCGAAGGGTGGATAGCGCTATGCCGCAGATAAATCCTCATCCAGTGGATAAGTCGATGCTGGATGTTACCCAATAAATGTATCCACTGGATAATATCTATCCGTCGGATAGCGCTATCCACCCTTCGTACACTAACCGGACTCAGTTATGATAGGCGCGCCCATATTCTATTTTCAGATAAAAGGATTCCCACCCAGAGTAAAATCAAAGATGGAACTCATCGACATCATACATCGGTTCATATGGTTGATGACAGGCCAACATGCCGCAGTCAGCTTCCCGTTAAGTGATTACGGGATCTACCCGCCTAATGCTCCTACTAAGCTATACAACGACTCACGCGGGCCAGAAGGGCAGTTCTCTATCTACAACCTTCCTTACAGATTTACTGCTGCAGTAAGTACTGGTAGATTTCGAATGACTTTTGATTATAGTATAGCATACAGTTATTTCAAAAAAGAATGAATATATACCGAATACTGCATACTGAATAGTGCATTCCAAGACCGAATTGCATTGTGGGTCATAGTGACATTGTCTAAAGTAGGATTAATAATTATTATTTATTCTATTTTTAGCGTATTCCATTTGAAACAATATACCGACTACATGTAGAGTTAATTGCTGTATATTTACATTTTATTATAAATAAACGAGACCCACAATGCACTTCGGTCTTGGAATGCACTATTCAGTATAGTATGCAGTATTTAGTATTCAACCGTTTTAAAGATAGCTGTATATATTACCTTCATATTTTATTGATATCCTGAAACAGCTTCTCGGCTGATCAATATCAGGGCTACAAGGCTAATTCACAGATCGAATTGGATTTTTGCGTGTTATGTTTTGCGGAGGAAGGAAAACCCCTCTTATCAATAAAGGGCCCAAAAAAAGTATACTCGCATAAGATGCTGTGAGTGTATAAAATTTACAACCAATTTAAAAAATAAATCTAGCTTACCAAACTAATGTTTTTGATACTGAATATTTTTCTTATTTCAGATTCAGAATCGTGCATTCATTAGCCTCTCGTCCTTGCGTCTCGATCGGTTATTTGACTATGGCCCTTTACTTGAAGATAGTCGAGCCCGTGAAGTGCTTTACAAACACTACAGTAATCTAGTGAACAAAGTAGAGCTGGTATTGGACGAGAGGAACAAGAATCGCCATAACACTGGATTCCTTACATACCCGTATCTGCTTCCGAGATGGCTGCCTAATGGTGTGCAAACCTGAATGGAAGCATATGCGCTTCCTTTTGCTAAATTTAGTAATAGCAGTCTAAAGCGCATTGAGCTTAGATATCATTCGATTTTGCCATATCATCATATGAATTTTGGAATAAAAGGTTTTTACGTTTGGGGGACTGATAGAGACAAGGGCAATTCAAAATGCAGCAATACTGCGCAATAAAGGCTTTTACGACAGCCATATTGAAAGACAAATTGAAAGCAATAAAAATAATAAAAATTTTAACTCATGTAAAAAATCTATAATCCTTGAAAAACATTGCAACATTGCGATTCACAATATTCTGCTAATTTTTCGCTGCCGTCAATTTTAGATGACGTAATCGTCCGAACCAAACCCGAATACAAATCAATACTAAAAACTCGTTCCATCGAATATCAGCTCCGAATAGCAACAAACCGTGTTGATCGGAATTCTCTCGTTTGCATTCGGTTTTGGTTCGGAAGATTAAGTCTGATTTTTCCGCACAGTATTGAGAATCATGCAGTAATCCCTCTCACAATATGGCTGCCGAAGACACATCTGAATATATATAACATGCGTATACAGGGGAGTTTATAGAATAGTGAATAGAGAATGGGGACAAACAATTAAATATAAGCACACGCAAAAATATGCAACATTTTCGAAAGGTAAATCATGTATTCCAACCCGATTTTTTATCACCAGGCATAAAGCATTGAAGTTAAAACATTTTATGTAATATCAAGGACATTAAAAGATGATGCATTACTCTAGTATTATGTGATGTACCCAGGGCAGTGCCGGGATGAATTTTTCAGATGCATATAGTTTTAAATATGTGACTTTTGGTTAATTTCCTATTAAATCCCACCATATAGTACCATGAGCTCACTTATGACACTAACTTCAACGCAAATTCCTTTAAAAGCGTTAAGAAACCATTTCTTGTTTTGTAAATCTGTATAAATTTGGTTCAAGAAAACAATAACTACTATTTTAAAATTAAATCTAAACAGATAAATGTATGAGCAATGGAAAGTCAGTTTACAAGATGCTCTCTGCTTTCGGATAATTCTCTCGACATATGGCAATATTACACAAAGGTATGTGCACTGAAAAGCTCAAGAGAAAGTGACGTCATCTTTGACGTCATTCAAAATATGACGTCATTTGGTTTTAAAAAGCAACAGGTTGAAAAGCTAGCTCGAGACTCTTGGATTTTCTCTTGTGATACCTTTAGGCTACTTAATGCAAATAGCATAGCATATACCATGCTAGAGCAGCTTTCGAAAGACTGTAAAAAACACTTGAGCACAGGCCCTAGGGTATCGTACACGTGACGTGCCCAAGGTACATTTTTCTCAGTCAGTACGGACTCTGTTCCGTAGTGCATAAAAGACTACAGTTCGAACCACAACCCAGGTCTTTCATAACGAATAACTGGAACAAAGTGCTTAGTTGGATCGAATAGATCACATAGTGGTTGCATCAAGGACAGATCTAAGTGAACGTCTGAGATTCTCACGATCTTGTTTTTGCTGCAAATTTAACATTAAAATGAACATCAGGCGGAGAGTTTTGGTAGAGAATATTGGAAACCAAAGTTGATGATCTCTTACCGCTTCTAACAGGAAATGTTGTTGGATGTGTGTAAGCTCTTGACGAATCTCATCTTGGAATGCGTCCTTGAGTGAGAAAAGTAATGAAAGAAAAAAGCAGGCGATAAGGACAAGCTATATACTTACTATATATATATTACAATACGTACTTGGTGATCTGGTTGGCTGTCACTGCCCTTGATCATCTCGTTCTGGAATTCCACACACAGGTTACGAAGACCTTTGATCCTAAGAATTTCAAGATTAGTAAGTGATTATAACTGACTCGAGTCCCAAACCTGAAAAGCAGCATATATATTTCTATATGTTTTGCTCTTTTACTCCGACGAAGGACTAGCGTCCGAAACGTCAGTAAGTTTTTTCATTTTTTCATCTTTTCACGGTGTAWAATTTACCYTTTTATCATTACTGTTTCATTAGAAAAACCGACGCAGCTCACACTAGATTTTAGCTAGTTATCTCTTCCTATATACATTTCAACGTTGAATTAGAATACGCAGAAGAATTCAATAATCAACATACTTATTTTCCTGTAAGATTCTTCGCGTCTTCAGTATTTTTATATCTTCTTCTATCCTTGCCTGGCACCAGAAAAGTATTTCGTTAAGAATATGTATAAATAAGCGAAAGAATAAGATTGGTTTCCATTGCTATGTACTTACTAGAATCTGTTCCTCGGTTTTCTTAGCCTTGTCCATTTCATCCTTTAGAATCTTGATCTCCTCCAGAAACTGATCGTTAAATGAGTCAATTATCTTATCCCTTCAATATAAAACACCATGAATCAATAGAGGAATTATATATCCACTACCACGTACAGGATCGGAAAAAGGATATAGGGTTTTAGCATTCCAGGTCAATTAAAGTGCTTCCAATCAGTCCACTCGTATTAAAGAAAATATTTCATTCCCATGCTTCCCCTAGCAATAACATAACTAATGAAGAAAAAAATAAATTCAGACCTGTTTGATAAATTCTGTTCAAAATGTCTATTGATGGTCTCAATAGTCACATCCATCGTTCTCTTACAGAACCGTTGTAAGTTATGTCGCTTGCGCTGAAACAAAAGAAGACATAGCACACATGAGGAAGATTGAAGCAAGACGTGCATTGAATTTATAGACTTACTCGTAATCGCTCCGTTAGATTTCCCCCTAGACCAGATAACATGTCTGATATGTCTCTGGTTGAAAGAGGAGAAAAACATGTATTAGCAGAAAAGACTGGAATGTAAATAGGGTGGGGCATACATAAGGAAGCCTGCGTGCAGCCTGAAGTCTTACTCAGAGTTTAAGTCGGGCTCCAAGGACGCTAATGAAAAGGGTGCATGGAGAGACTTGTGTTTTTAACATTTGCTATGCAGGCAAAAAAGCATAAAACGTTAAGAATGAAACATTGTCTATAATGTCTTCGTGCGTACGCATCAAAATTCGATGGCAACCAAATAAAGAAACTCCTTTTCTTGGTTCCCAGTATACCTGGTGAACTGCTTGGATTTGGACGAATGCGCTGATGTTTATATTCGTGGATTTGCTGTCATAGTCTAGGTACCCACCTCATATCCTCATACGAGGAAGATTGGTCATAAAGCGTTTCTTCTTCTAGTTCCTCTTCAGGTGAGTGCTCTGGAAATACAATCGTTGGGTATTGGTTTACGCATTGAAATAGGTATTACACCCCATGTCAAACTTTTTACACAAATATAAATTTTCTCGCTTTCTGATTGGTCGAGAGCGGTGGGAAATAAGAGGACCAACAAATTACGTATCGCTAAGTTTAGTTACGGGACTGAGGAAAAGTGCTAAATTTAACACTACAAAAATGCTAAATGTTCCGCCCTGTCCCGGGGAACTAGGGGTGGGGGATTCAATTTACTAGTGCACACCTCAAGGTTAACCTCGACTTCAAACCATTGTTTTATGGTCATTCAATCGAATTCGGGAAGGGTCTATTAATTGAGTGCAATATAATATTTACCATTGACAACTTGTCTGAACAACTGTCGTGGTTTGATATTGGGGTTATGGTCTCCCTTGCCTATAAGGCGCTCATGTGCCCTCTTCTGTTCACGGTCCTGGTGATCGTCGTTGTTGATTTCAGGACTATAGGGATCTTGATATGGAGTGGAAACCGTTCTGGATGGACCTGATACATTTAAAATAAGATATCAATTGATGAACTAGTGTTGAATGGATGCGTGCCTCAATGCTTCTTGGATAGTATAGGTCTTAGCGAAGTATCGGGACAGGGTAAGCCACAAGAACCTCTTCGAAGAGGTTGGAATTCCATGCGTCCAACTTTGTTGTGATTCTTGGCGTGCCGAGATGTATTGAAATTCCCGAATTATGATATTCAGTATTACTGCAACTGAAACATTTTAGCGCTTAGACATTGTTTGGTGATTAATGGTCGATGGGTGGGTTTAGGGTTGACTGGCAGGTAGACGGGTGGATGCATGGATGGGTGGCTTAATGGTCGATCGGTGGGTGTAGACCGGCTGGATCGAAAAAATGCAAACATGATTTTTCTTACCTGACGATGTCCAATCCACGAAAATTTGCCTTGGTTTCTTAGACTAAAATATAGGCATTAATGATCGATTAAACCAATAAATAATAATAATGATAATAATAATAATGATAATAAACTTAATTCAGAAGGTGAGTATAGCCACCAATAACGTGAGATAACGTTTTACTTATTAAACAAGCACAATGCATTGTCATTAATCAACATTAAAGCATATAACTTACATGTCCGAAGTCCTCTTCCTCGTCAATTCCTTGTTAAAAACAAAACAAAACAAAACAATTTTCATTATTAAATATTGGCCTGGTACAAGGGCAACAGAGTTTAATAATTCCTCTCGTGCATTCGAGAGTGTGGGCGGATCCACGTCCCATCCCGAGAGGTTGAAGATCTCCTTCTGTGTCCCCCCCCCCCCCCCCCCCAAAAACCCCTAAGATGATCTCACTCCCATGGGCCCGAGGAATTAATTACATAACAAAATGTCCATACTTTTCATGATAGCTGATGTCCTTGGAGTGATAGGCGTCTTGGAAATAGACGTTGTAACTCGAAGTTCCCCTTTCTTGCGTCCTTTAGGTGTGGTTGATGCTGTGCTGGACGTTACCGATGTGCGCTTTCGAGACCCTGTCCCGATACTTCGCCCAAGACCTATACAGGAATATCATGATGATTATAGTAGTGGATTTGATGTATGTGTGAAAAGCATTCATATAGATTACCTGAATCGTTCAATCGACCAGGGGTGGTGCGTGGTGTTTCATACTTGGATGTGTTTACTTGACGTGGTCCAAACCGGCTCTCATTCTATAAAGGCAAACAATAGAAATGTAAAGAAGAGCAATGTAAAGAAGAGAAAGAAAAGAAGCAAGGAAAGAGAGCACTTTATGGGGCGAAAGAATATACCCCGTTACCTAATGGGCGTAATGTTTTCCCATTTCAGACCACGTGTCACAATCCCTTGGAAATAAGATTCTTTGTGTGAGTTGTACCATATTAATGTGTCTTCTCATGCGCAATCGTTTGTTACACTGGGGAATGACACGTGGTCTGAAATGGTAAAACATTACGCTCCACACATGAATATGGATACAACTCAAAAAAAGAATATTATTCTCTAGGGAATGACACGTGGTCTGAAATGGTAAGACGTTACTACGCTAAGGTAAAATGGTAAAATGGAAGGAAGGCACTAAACTCAGTTCATACCATGTTAAGTCTTGATCGGGGCACACTGTGGTCAGCAAAAGTCTCCACATTTTTACCATGATGTTTTAAATGCTTCGGAGAGTTTTTTCCAGACTTATCTGACATCTGCTCATTATACTTGCTTTGTATCTTTGTAAAGCGAGTTTTAATAGTCAGTATCATTTAACGGTTAATGAACCTCTTTTGCTTGGGCGTAATGTTTTCCCATGTCATTCCCTTGAGAATAATTTTTTTTGTTTGATTTGTATCCATATCCATGTGTCTTCCAATGTGCAACCACTAAACAAAGAAATTATAAGCTATTGAATGACACGTGGTCTGAAATGGGAAAACATTACGCCCAAGCTAAAGAGTCTATTCAGAGAGTCTATTCAAAGGTCTTGCACAACAGAATTTCTTACCTTAGAGTCTTTTAACTTCTTTGCTGGCTTTCCATCTTCAGTCTCCTCATCTCGCCGCTTTCTTAATGGAAGCTCTGACGCGGGTGTTGAAGATTTAGAAGCAGTAATATCCTACGTGGAAACAATCAAACCATTTCAATAAAAAATATAACAAACATAATAATAATGTATAAAAATAATAGAATAATATATAATATATAATATATAAATATATAATATGAAAATAAACAACATGATAATATCAAGGTTTTCGTAGGACAGCAATGATTCCCTTGAACTTCGTCAAGGAAACTTAAGGGCAGTAGAGAACTTATCAAAACTGCGCATGCATGATGCCCAGAATTACTTTTAAAAAACCTTGTTATGAAGCGCTGACATCGAAGAGAGGGAACTAAGTGCACACCATCAACTTCCTGGAAATTCATCAAGAAAGCCTTGACTGCCATTTTGACAATTCTCCATTTTACAGTTTCGTTCCGTAAACATGAATAATAGTTCAGGCAAGAGTTTCCGCGCATCGCAAAACTGTATTCTTTATAATGCGCGGCAACTCCAACCTCGGCTTGGAACTGTATTATTTTTGGTCACTGAACGGAACTGTAAAATGGAGTATTACAGTAATCTTTAAAGAAAGTGGTATCTGTTTGTTGAAAACACTTCACTCATTTGATATGTATGTTAAAGTAACGTATACCTGACAAAACCTCCGTAGTTTAAGAACTTCATTGGTTTCTTCATCGTCGTCGTCCTCCTCCTCCATGTCTTCAACTCGGTTCTTTGGTTTACTTACTGACTTGGATTGTTTTTTACTTTCCAGCTGTTCTCCTTTCCCTTTGCGACTTTGTGGATTTCTTGCTGCTTGTCTCTTATTTGAATACGCTTCTGTGTATCTCTGATGATATTCAGGTGGATCGCGATCACGATCATCACTCTCGTATCCCGACTGAAACTCTTCATCACTCTTGTTTGACGGTCTAGGTGATGACTTTAGCTGTATTGATTTCGATGTGCCTTCCTTGGATGATATCTGCCACCCCATGCGAGGAACGTCAGTTGTCCTTTTCTTGTTTTCCTTGTCCGTATCTTTTGAAAACATTAAATGGACATACTAAGTATTGCGCAAATGGAATTAATTGGTTGTAACATAATAAACTTTTCTACTGTGCAAGAGCGCGCGCCCTAAAGGGAAGATAACGGTAATGTTCTTCAAGATCAGACGGGAGCGAGTGCGGCAAATGACTGGGAAAAGGTAAATCAAAACGGGAATAATTAAGCCAAACCTATATGCATAACCGTAAAATCCTTATGTTGATAGTCATAGATACAACTATTAAATCAAAACTAAAACCTGCTTACAAGAAAGTGGGATGGCCCGGCTAGGGGCAAGTCCCAACCCAGGAGGCACCAAAAACCAAGAGTTACTCTAAAACTACCGGAGTAAAACAGAGTTCAAAGTTTAGTAATGGCCAACTGATTGCGCAATCATACATAGTCTAAATATAAAACATGTACCTTTTGTCCAGTTCTCTTCCAGTTTACTTGAATACTTTTGTGTCTGGTTCTTTCCATATGTCTTTCTGCGTTTAGGTGACTTATACTCGTTTGGAAGGTCGCTATCCTCGTCAAGATCGTCTTCAGAAAAGCCTCTTTTGGACAACCGTTGACGCAGCTGTTTTGAATTTTCTTTCTTTTTTCTTAAATTTCTTGACTTACTGTTTTCAAAGGGTTTGGATTTCTTCTTATCGGTGCTGTCTTCTTGATAAAGCACACTATCGAAATCCTCTTCAATTCTCTCCCTGTCACCTGTCTTACCACTTGACGTGTCTTGTGGTTTATCGCGGGTTTCTGCCATGGTATACTCCTGAAAAGGCATGTATACCACGTCATCTTCATCATCATCATCTAATGGCATCCCTTTTTCATCCGCTGCGGATTTGTCACGTGATTTGCGGTTATCTTCAAAAGAGAAAGTGTTGCTTGGTAACGCCGCGCTTTCTTGTCCAAGTTTTTCCCCCTCTCCAACCAAAGGTTTTTCTGCGGGCATCACTGTGAGATCCGGTAAATCAAAGTCAAACTCTCGTTCAAAGTCTATTTTGTCTTGTTTTTCCTTTAGTTTGGTTGAGTGCTTGTTACGTTCCTTTGCTGAGTCCACCTTATTACTTCTCGATGCTTTTGATTGGTCTGAGGTTTTTGCATTACTTCTTGTCTTTCTTTTAGAGGCTGCTTCGTAAAGAAGTGTATCTTCTGATGTGTTTCCAGATTCTTGTGCTTTCTCGTTATCTCCGAAAGCTTCGACTTCTCTTCCTCGCTTCTGCGTAAAAGAATAAGAAATAAGACTTGAAACACGAACCTTTACTCTGATCTCGCGGCAGCCATGTTGACTGGAAAAATTGATTTCCCCCAACAAGCACTTCAGGATGAGGATACGTTTGGTTAAACAAAGCGTACCATTCTCATGGGAAAAACATGCCGCCGTGTGATAAAGGTCCATTCGTTCTGAATATGGGGAAGGGGGGGGGGGGGGGGGGGGGGGGGGGGGGGGGACTTCCTTTATGCTATTACGTAGACATTACCTTAGTATGGCCATCAGATGATCAGGTTGAGCGTGATTAAAAGGTTTTTTCCTCATGGAAATGAACATAGTGTCATGTGATAAAGGTCCATTCGTTCTGAATATGAGGGTATAAAGGGGGGAGCGGGGGAGGGGGGAGAGGGAACTTCGTAAATGCTACAACGTAGACATTACCTTAGTACGGCTCTCAGATGATTCAGCTGGTTTATCCTTGGCTGGTGCACGCGTAGCTTGAGGAGTCTTTTTAACTGAATACAGACATATTTACTGATTATACTTGCAGGTATTTTTAAACAACTGGTTATAGGAAAAGGTGTCCATGGGGTGCGAAGGGGGAGGGGGAAGCACACTGACGTATACCCTCATGCGTATAATCATAAAATCTTCGTTTAAAGTAATATTGGACAGGGAAGATAAGTCCAAAGAAATAAGCTAAGAACTGGGTAATAAATTGGATATTACTATGTTAAAACTTTTGCCTTTAATATTGCTAATAACCTACCTAACGGAATATCGACTGGTGATTTTTCTTCTGTAATAGCACTCAGTCCAGGACTAACAGATGCTCTTTTCTTTCTACCTTGCTGGAATGCTGCAGTGTCCCTTGGAATTCTTTTTTCCCTTACAGACTTACACGGAACTAAACTGTGCTTAGCCTTTGGACCAGGTTCCTATCACATCAATACAAACAGGGAGAAAACATACATCAGTTCGGTTACAAACTGGTTTACTTTACACAAAACTATGGTTAGTGGTGTTCTGACAAGGAAACGTAAAATTATCAGATCAGGATGTTCCACCCTTAACCTGAATGTGGAGTGGGATGGAGTGGGGTGGGGGAGAGGGGTGAGATGGGGGT